AGTGAATGAATAGAAAGTTCCTCTTCACCAACAGATTTAGCTTCCCCTACCCACATGTACCTTTCACCAGAGTGTCTCACAGGGAGACAAACCATCCAAATTTCATCCCAATTTCTCTAGCCTCCCTCTCAGTTGGTGTCAGAATAGCACTGATCAAAAGGGAGGTGCAATAGTAGCTAACCTCCGAAACCCCAAATACAGAACATGGGCAGCGAGGGCTCATTGAATTTCTGCCTGCCATGGGTCAAAGTATTACTGGACAAATTCCCTCTCAACCTGCCTCCCCATCCAAGCTCTGCCTGTGCAACTTAACAGAGAGATCAGAGATGAAATAGGCAGTAGAAGGTGCACTGGAAATGGAGCTACTGGTTCTTGGCCAACCTGCAGCTCCATCATTTGTTTAGCTATGTGACCTGGAGGCCAACTGCTTTAAGCCTTTCCCCACCAGTGAAGTCTGGATCATAACACTTCCTGCTTGTCTGGCAGGTTGGTGTGCCCTTCCTCAGTTCCTCTCTGTCCTTCCAGGGGTTTGGCGGGTGGCTCTGTCTGCAGCAGCTTACCTTTGGTTTTCACGGAGGCAAGGGGTGTTCTAGGAAGTTAGGACTTTAAGCCAAGAGATGCTTAATCTATAAGGGCAGCGTGTATCCCAGAATGTACAACCCTCTAATAAGACCACAATCAGAGCCATTGTCCACAGCCCTGGGGCCATACTGCCATCAAACAGAGAACTCAGCTTTCCTGGCACCCATTTCAGGAACAATCCTTTGGTGAGAACCAAAGTCCATTCCCTGAGAGTCATTAGCCCAGGAGTCATCTAGTTGACCACTGACTTACCCTCCCTTCTGATAATAAATTTTATATCCAGGTACTGAATTGTTCCATCCATCCAAAGAGCTTGGGTCTATGGATACAGATTCTTCCATTCAACGTGTTTGTAACCAACATGTCCTGAGAACACACCTCTTCCGTCATCACTTCCACTCACTATCTGCTGAGGAGGCTTCTCTTCCTCTGCCCCCTCTTTCACAGCACGTTCTTCCACTTTCTCAGGACTTCTGGAAAGGGAAGCTTCCCCTTTATCATGGGAATAAGCTAATTGAGTTTTAAAACTGGTGACTACCTCAAAAGCAATATAGGTGCCACCCAGTGCCTCTCTTGGCTGTGTTTTCCATTTTGGTGCAGTAAAAAGACCACATCATGCCTCCTCCTGGCTGGTCCAGCCAGTTCTCAGTCCCCTGTTCTAGGTTCTCTGCCTCACATTGGTTCTGTGAATCAGGTTTGTATGCCAGAAGTCCAGATTCATGGATGGAGACAGAAGGTGGTAGGAGAGGGTAATGGCACACTTTCTCCTTCTCTCAGAATGAATGTAACCCTGGGTTGACATTCTGGTCCCTTGCCCCTAGAAATCTGATGACTGTGGAGTGTCCACTGTAGTAGTGCATAGGTTAGAGGTAAGCCCTGACTTTGGTACTTTCCGATGAGTGCTTGATAGGTGGCTGTGGCTTCGGGCTTCCCTGAATACAATGACTCTTTGCAGGGATCCTGGAAGCTCTGTCAAGTGGACCCACTGCATCTACTACTGTGGATCTTACCTCCTTCTTCCTGAGCTATCATTTGAGGGCCGAGAAACCAGCCCTGGACTAGGCTATGAAGTGTGACGAGGACTCGCCTGCAGAGGTAAGCCTGTCCTACAGTCCTCTAACTGAAGCTGGTGCCAGCTCTGTTCTTTGGTAGTTCTGTGAGACTGAATATCTAATTGAGCCTAAAAATAAGGACACCCTGGTAGACATTGCAGGTTCTACCCAATTCTTCCTTCCTGAGAGCCCCTAAAAAGCTGATACTTCACAACCACTTATGCAGGGCTGTGCTGTTTTCCCTCCACTGCCCAGAACACTGCAGAGGAGAAGTGACCGACCTCTAAACTTCAGCCCACAGCACTGTCACCACTACGGATCATCACCACCTCCATCAAAGCAGCAGTATCACGAACTCCTGCCTGTCACCTCCCGTTCTCTTCTCAAGGTCACATATTCCTCCCTTTTTAATTTTGTCTCCCAGGATCTGCTCCTATGAACAGCATCTAGAAAAACACTGAACTGAGGGTCCTACTTTGCTGGCTGAGTCAGCCTAAAACAAATCCTCTGGCTCAGAATTTCACCATCTGAGAAATGGGAAGAATAATCCTTTTCCCTGGCATCCTGGAAACCTTATTAGCTCCAGCTGTAATCAATAAAATGATAGAGCAGTTCAACTCTTTAAAATAAACGAGTCTAAATATAAACAGATTTGACCCCCTTGAGATGGCACCAAAGGCCGTTAAGGTCCCTATTCATTCCCCTCCTGTCCAACGGCTGTCTCCAAGCAGGCACTAGCTTGTCAGAGCAGAACAGATAGACCACAGTGTGGCTGTGCATCCTGGGCAATTATGTCTTCCTAAAAGCTTGGAAAAAGGAAAACAATGTGAAAACTCTCAACATTTAGCTCACTCTGTTTCTCCCGGGAATTGAGTGACTGAGTGCTACGTGTATAAGAAGAGAAAAAAATAGAGGGATAGGAGTGGGCTGGAGGGGAGCAGGCAGAGAGAGGAGCCAGGAAAGAGGCAGAGGAGGAGATGGTGCCGTGGAGCCCCAGCTGGAGGGAGGCGCTGGGAGCGGGAGAGGCCAGAGCACCAGGCAGGCCAGAGCAGGGGTGCTGGGCAGCTCCCTGGTTGGAGGGCTCCTCCCATAAGTGGGCTGAGGTGCAGTCAAAATCACAGTGGCCTCTGCAGGTATCCCTTAAGTGACGTTGCAGGCCTCCTGGCGTCTGATGCAAGAGGATAATGGAAAGAGCACTGGAATGCCAGCTGGGAGCCCTTGCTTCTAATCCCAGCTGAGCAGTTTTTGAGATCACTTCCCTTCTCTGGGCCCCAGTTCCCTCGCCTTCAAAACAAGGGAGCTGTACAGGTCGATCACGTGGTCGCTTCTATGTTCTGTCCTCTCAGTTTCTGCAGCCCTGAGTGGTCAATGGCATTTATGCTCCTCTCTCCTACCCACACTCCTTCCACTGGAGAAGGAGGATCCTTCCCCGTCCCACCACCCCACTGATGTTGGTGGCTTGCATTGACCAATGGGCTATGAGCAGAAGGAAGAGTGTGCCAGTACAGAGCAGAAGCTTTGAGAAGCACTGCAAGTTTCCACCAGTTCTCTTGCACTCCTATACTTGGCTAGAACAATACACCCCAGGAGTCCCTGTGCCTTTAGCCTAGGCCCCAGCAAGAGGAGACATTCAGAGCAGGCCTAATTCCAATGCACAATCCGAAGCCAGGCCCAGCCAGGCCCAGCAGAGCCACAGTCTTCTCACAGACATACAAATAGGAAATAAATGCTTATTGTTGTGAGGCTTTGCAGTTTTGAAGTCGTTTCTGCAGCCAAGGCTGACTAATACAGCATGTGACACGAAAACATGTCCCATGGAAGTGCCCATCAGGGACTGATCAAAAGCCTGTGTGAAGAGAATGAAGGGCAGCTGGAGGGGCCCTTCAGAAAGGTCTTCCACTGCTTCGCCCTCCCTGCCAGTGCCTCACACCTCCGTATGGAGACACACCTGGGTTTAGCATCGACAACCCGTGCCTCAGCAGGGGTAGGAAGGCAGTTTGGTGGGAGGGGGAACTAAATTAGAAAGCCTCAAAGTCAAATTCCTCTCTATTCACGGTCTTCTCTTCCACAATTCTCCAAACCTGGGCAGTCTGTTTCTCTCACTGCATAGGTGCCATAATTAAAGACTCTTGAACTTGGGGTTGATGTCTTGGTTTAGCTAATGGGGAGAAACATCAAGATGTCTAGACCAGTTTACAAGTTCCAGCATCACTGGTGTCTGGTTACTGTAATTAATAGGTAAGTCTTCTGTCTGATTCCCAATATTAAAGGGTCCTGCTAGCCAAATTCTAACTAAGTGATGTTTTTGGGCCAGAGTGCTAAAACTTCTTTGATACAATATACAAACTAATGCTCAGAGATGAGAAATGTGGGACTCTAATGCCGTCAGCACTGCGGTCGAGTGGATGGCCTGTGAGGTGCAGGCTAGGGGGTGTGACCAGTGGTTGAGGGTGCTTCACTTCACTCAGAGAACACCAGGACCCTTCCTCACCTCCTCAGTTATTTGGGTGAAAACCTTCAACAACCATAGTCATCTTCTGCTGGGAAAAACAAAAAGACCCAGACCTCTACCAGCCAACCTACATCATGGAAGAGAAGGGAAGCTGGATTTGGGAATGGTATAAAGCAACAAGCAGGGACTAAAGTGCTAGGTTTTCAGCATTTTGTTTTTGAAGCACCAAAGCCTTTAAAACAAAACCTTCCCTGGAATGGAAACATGTGTAAATAGATAAAAGTACAGAAGCTCAGGGTAAAGCAGGGGTGGAGATTCAGAGTCTATCTGTGCAGCATTCTATTTCCCACTCCCAAAAACCAAAAGTATCTCCTGACACTGTGTGTGGAACCTCTGGACTAATTCAGCTTGAAAACCACTAGACTAGAGAAATCTTGGGCATCAGAATAGGTTTATGAAAAGCTGAAAGGAAAGGGGGCAGGTATTGTCATGGCTATTTCTAGGCATTATGCTGTGAAAAGAATAGATTTCAGTATATAGACATCTCTTGTAGTGTCCTGGCCACCAAGGGGCACACAGCAGAGAAGAGGCCCCCCACATCTTGCTTAAGGCAGAGGGACTGACCAACTGACCTTTCTCAAACCTTCTTCGAGACAAGCCTCCTTATCTCCATCTTCAAGTGGGCAAGACAGATTTGCTTGGGAAAGATTTAGATCTTCCTTCTTTGCCCTGCCTCCTCCACCTCCCCACTCACCCCACAAACCTAAGCCTCTGGCCCCTCCTGAGTTCCCAGGCCTCAAGCCTTGTGCCATGTCTACATCGACCTTCCAGAAGGAGAGATCCTGAGGGATTTGTCTAACTCCCCAGCATGTGGTCCCCCACGTCCCACGGAGAAAAGCCTCCCGACGACCCACCTATGCACACTACGTCCATGAATCCGTACATCCCGTAGCAGATCTGGAAGAGGAGGTCTTGGCGCTGCCATTTTGCCGAGGGACTGAAGGTCGACCAGATGAGCCAAGAGATACTGGCGATGAGGAAGAGCGAGCCCAGGATGGCGGCTGCAATCTGCACCTTCTCGATGACTGTCAACGAGATGGCCTGCCACTGCGGAGAGGAGAAGCCATGTGAGCTGCTGCTTGGGGGTCCTCGCCCACCTCTGCATCCCGTTTCCGCCCCATTCCTGTCCCTCTTCCTTCTGCTGCAATCTCGCACCTCTGGTTTAGGATTTAAACCAGGGCTTTCTAACTTGTGATACAATGGGTATTTTTGTAAGTTTCTGAGTTTTGCATTGTACTTTTAAGGAGGAAACCTGTAATCACACCCAGGGGCCAGGAGTCATTGTGGGCAGGGGTCCTGGGCAGGCATGGCTGGGAAGGAAGGCCCTTAGAGTTGATTCTGATACAGACAGTGAACCAGGAAGGAGACAGTGAAAATGCAGAGCTAGTGAGGGTGCTGTTCCAGGGCCCAGAATACTCTTTTCAGAGCAGCACTGTTTATGTTCACACTAATAGGTGCTGAGAGGGCACAGGCCTTTTTTCTGCTTGTTTCCTGTGCCACCACCATGCGTGTCATTTAATACACATGTCAGTGATTACCGATTCAGCAGAAAAGGAGAGGATGCAGGCTGTGGGGGAGAGATAAGAACAACAGTACAATTTACTGACTGTATATGAACAGCGAGACTTCATTTTTTTAAGCAGAAAAAGCACTACTAACAGCAGTATTGATGGGTGGGTTGATGGCTGGGGTGTGGGTGAATTTCAGCTCTGAAATTCTCCGATTCTACGGCTGATTGAGGTAGCACAGGCCTAAAGAGCCTGGAGCTGGGTTTTAGTTTGGGATTTATTCATGCTCTCGTTCAACAAATATGTACTGAATATTCCTTGTGCCAGATACACTGCCAGATGTGGAGATAAAGCAGTAAGCAAAAACTTGGAAGATTTCTGCCTTCATGGAAGGTACAGTCTAGGGAACACTGGCAAATCACTACTTAGAACTGTAGTTCATCAGCAGTAAGAAAAGCAGGTACATGGAACTGTGAGAGCCATGGTTGAGGGATTTGACTTCTCAGAAGAAGCTGTGCTCGAGTTGAGTGGGCATTCACTAGGCAAAGAGAGGAGGGAAGAATGCTTGAGGCAGAAGGGAGAGCATGTGCAAAGGCCCTGTGGCAGAAGACAACGTAAGCATGAAAACCTAGAAGAAGATCAGAGGGGGTGGAGCAGAGAGAGCAAACAGGAGTGTGGGGTGAGACAGCTGGAAAAGTAAGAAGGGAAGGCCACATGGAATCTTGATGAATATGCACAAATTTTTTACTTTGTCCTAATAGTAAATGTGATACTATTAAACAGTTTTAAGCAGGGAAGTGAGAGAATCAGATTTGGGAAGATGGAGGGAAAGATTGTCTCCTGATTGTAGGGTTTGCATAATGCCCTGCGGAGAACACCCCCAGAAAGCATTTCAGCTTGCACTCCTCAGGAAAAGCAGGCAGCCTTCCATCTGCCCTTGGTGAGCCCCCACATGTGTTAAGGGGCCTGGATGGCATCACTGAGGCTGGCTCCAGCCAGGACTGACCAGTGGCCCCTGAGGAACTATAACCATTGGGAAGTATATCACTTGCTAATCTAGATGGAGGACATAAGCCTTTACATTTAATTATACAGACAGCATCCCATTACAGGTAATTGAGCCTTTAAATTTTCCACTGCTTCCTCAAGCCTAGGATTACACATAACAAGGAAATTTTCCAGAAGATGGCCTGATCCTACAGAATCCTCTCATAAACAACACATGCTTTTTCCAGAGCCTGTTTCACTGTTTGCAAAGAGGGCTCCCAATTAAGCCTTCTATTTCAACCTTTGAATCATCAAAAACCCTCCTCTTTTCCTGCTCCAGTCTTTAAAAACC